CGGGGCTGATGGGGTGTCTCTGTGTCCCCCCAAAACCTCCAGGACCACGGGGGGGCGCTGGGCCCCGAGGAGTTCAAGGCCTGTCTCATCAGCCTGGGCTACGACGTGGAGAACGACCGGCAGGTACCGCGGGCGCTCCCTCATCTTCCTCTTCCTCCTCTTCCTCCCTCCTCTTCCTCCTTCATCTTCCTCCTTCCTCCTTCATCTTCCTCCTTCCTCCCTCGTCTTCATCTTCCTCCCTCGTCTTCGTCTTCCTCCTCCTCCTCATCTCTTTGTCTTCCTCCTTCGTCTTCCTTCGTCTTCCTCCTTTGTCTTCCTTCTCCTCATCCCTTCCTCTTCCTCCTTCGTCTTCCTCTTCCTCCTTCCTCCTCCTCATCCCTTCGTCTTCCTCCTCCTCCCTCGTCTTCCTCTTCCTCCTCCCTCGTCTTCCTCCCCTTCCTTCGTCTTCCTCCTCCCCATCCCTTCGTCTTCCTCCCTCGTCTTCCTCCCCTTCCTTCGTCTTCCTCCTCCCCATCCCTTCGTCTTCCTCCCTCGTCTTCCTCCCCCTCCCTCGTCTTCCTCCTCCCCATCTCTTTGTCTTCCTCCTCCCCATCCCCTCGTCTCTTCCTCCCCTCGTCTCTTCCTCCCTCCTCTTCCTCCCCCGTCTTCCTCCCCTTTCTTTGTCTTCCTCCTTCGTCTTCCTCTTCCTCCCTCGTCTTCCTCCCCTTCCTTCGTCTTCCTCCTCCCCATCCCTTCATCTTCCTCCTTCCTCCCCTTCCTTCGTCTTCCTCCTTCGTCTTCCTCCTTCGTCTTCCTCCTTCGTCTTCCTCCTTCGTCTTCCTCCTTCGTCTTCCTCCTTCGTCTTCCTCCTTCGTCTTCCTCCTTCGTCTTCCTCCTTCGTCTTCCTCCTTCGTCTTCCTCCTCCTCCCTCGTCTTCCTCCCCCTCCCTTCATCTTCCTCCCCTCTCGTCTCTTCCTCCCTTGTCTTCCTCCTTCCTTCCCTCCCTTCGTCTTCCTCCCTCATCTTCGTCTTCCTCCCTCGTCTTCCTCTTCCTCCTCCCTCATCTTCCTCCCCTTCCTTTGTCTTCTTCGTCTTCCTTTGCCCCTCCCTTCATCTTCCTCCCCTCTCGTCTCTTCCTCCCTTGTCTTCCTCCTTCCTTCCCTCCCTTCGTCTTCCTCCCTCATCTTCGTCTTCCTCCCTCGTCTTCCTCTTCCTCCTCCCTCATCTTCCTCCCCTTCCTTTGTCTTCTTCGTCTTCCTTTGTCTTCCTCCTCCCCATCTCTTTGTCGTCTTCCTCCCTCCTCTTCCTCCCTCATCTTCCTCCCCTTCCTTTGTCTTCTTCGTCTTCCTTTGTCTTCCTCCTCCCCATCTCTTTGTCGTCTTCCTCCCTCCTCTTCCTCCCTCATCTTCCTCCCCTTCCTTTGTCTTCTTCGTCTTCCTTTGTCTTCCTCCTCCCCATCTCTTTGTCGTCTTCCTCCCTCCTCTTCCTCCCTCATCTTCCTCCCCTTCCTTTGTCTTCTTCGTCTTCCTTTGTCTTCCTCCTCCCCATCTCTTTGTCGTCTTCCTCCCTCCTCTTCCTCCCTCATCTTCCTCCTTCCTCCGCCTCCTTCATCCTCCTCCTCCCCCTCCCTCGTCTTCCTCCCTCGTCTTCCTCCCTCGTCTTCCTCCCTCGTCTTCCTCCCTCGTCTTCCTCCCTCGTCTTCCTCCCTCGTCTTCCTCCCTCGTCTTCCTCCCTCGTCTTCCTCCCTCGTCTTCCTCCCTCGTCTTCCTCCCTCGTCTTCCTCCCTCGTCTTCCTCCCTCGTCTTCCTCCCTCGTCTTCCTCCCTCGTCTTCCTCCCTCGTCTTCCTCCCTCGTCTTCCTCCCTCGTCTTCCTCCCTCGTCTTCCTCCCTCGTCTTCCTCCCTCGTCTTCCTCCCTCGTCTTCCTCCCTCGTCTTCCTCCCTCGTCTTCCTCCCTCGTCTTCCTCCCTCGTCTTCCTCCCTCGTCTTCCTCCCTCGTCTTCCTCCCTCGTCTTCCTCCCTCGTCTTCCTCCCTCGTCTTCCTCCTCCCCCTCCCTTCGTCCTCCTTCCTTCCTCCCCCTCCCTCATCTTCTTCCTCCCCATCCCCTTATCTTCCTCCTCCTGGCCATCATCTTCCTCCCTCTCCTTCATCGTCTTCCTCCCCATCCCTTCATCTTCCTCCCCGCTGGATCCTCCCCATCCCCTCATCTTCCTCCTCTCTGGTCATCTCCTTCCTTCTCCTTCTTCATCATCTTCCTCCCTCTCCTCCTTCATCGTCTTCCTCCCCATCCCTCCTCTTCCTCCCCATCCCTCCTCTTCCTCCCCATCCCTCCTCTTCCTCCCCACCTCTCCTCTTCCTCCCCATCCCTCATCTTCCTCCCCATCCCTCATCTTCCTCCCCACCTCCTCATCTTCCTCCCCCCCTCTCGCTGCCGAAACGCCGCCTTTAACCGGATTTCTCTCTTCCCTCCTTCCTCCCTCCTCTTCCTCTCCCTCCTCTTCCTCCCCGCACGCGCTCTCCCACCTTCTCCTTCCTCTTCCTCCTTCCTCTTCCTCCTCCTCCTCCTCCTCTTCCTCCCTCGGGAGCAGAAGCGCGGGGGCGGCGCCGACTCCGAGGAATTCCGGGCTCTGCTTCTCTCCGCGGGATCGGGGCTGGTAACGCCTTTTCTCCCACGTTTACACTTTTTTTTTCCCCTTTTTCTACTTTTTTTTCCTCTTTTCCCCTTTTTTCTACTTTTTTTTCCCCCTTTTTTTATTTTTTTCCCCCTTTTTCTACTCTTTTTCTGTTTTTTCCCCATCGACGGGGGGAGCTGAGGGGGGACCGGGGGGACGGAGCCGCCGCGTCCCAGGATTCGGGGAGAACGGGGAATTGGGAGAGAATCTTGGGGAAAATTGGAGGTTTTTTGGGGGAGAATTGAGAATTGGGAGAATTTTGGGGAAGAATTTTGGGGGAGAATTGAGAATTGGGAGAATTTTAGGGGAGAATTTTGGGGGATAATTGAGAATTGGGAGGATTTTGGGGGAGAATCGAGAATTGGGGGAGAATTGAGAATTGGGAGAATTTTGGGGAAGAATTTTGGGGGGAGAATCAAGAATTGGGAGAATTTTGGGGAAGAATCCTTGGGAGAATCAAGAATTGGGAGAGAATCTCTGGGGAGAATTGAGAGATTTTGGGAAAAATTTTGGGGGAGAATCAAGAATTGGGAGAAATTTGGGGGAGAATTGAGAATTGGGAGAATTTTGGGGGAGAATCGAGAATTGGGAGAGAATCTTTGGGGAGAACTGAGAATTGGGAGAGTTTTGGGGAAGAATTTTGGGGGAGAATCGAGAATTGGGAGAGAATCTTTGGGGAGAATCGAGAATTGGGAGAGAATCTTTGGGGAGAATTGAGAATTGGGAGAATTTTGGGGGAGAATTGAGAATTGGGAGAATTTTGGGGGAGAATCGAGAATTGGGAGAATCTTGGGGGAGGATTGAGAATTGGGAGAATTTTGGGGGAGAATCGAGAATTGGGAGAATTTTGGGGAAGAATTTTGGGGGAGAATTGAGAATTGGGAGAATTTTGGGGGAGAATCGAGAATTGGGAGAATCTCTGGGGACAATTGAGAATTGGGAGAATTTTGGGGGAGAATCAAGGTGTTGGAAAATTTTTGGGGGAGATTTTTTGGGGCAGAATCGAGACGTTGGGAGATCTTGGGGGAGAATCGAGAGGGGAGAATTTTGGGGGAGAATTTTTGGGGAGAATCAAGACATTGGGTGGAAAATTTTTGGGAAGAATCAAGACATTGGGAGAGTTTTGAGGGAGAATTTTTTGGGGAGAATCGAGACATTGGGTGGAAAATTTTTGGGAAGAATTTTTGGGGAGAATCGAGACGTTGGGTGAATTTTGAGGGAGACTTTTTTGGGGGAGAATTTTTGGGGAGAATCAAGACGTCGGGAGATTTTGGGGGAGAATTTTTGGGGAGAATCAAGACGTTGGGAGAATTTGGGGGAGAATTTTTGGGGAGAATCGAGATGGGAGAATTTTGGGGGAAAATCAAGGTGTTGGAAAATTTTTGGGGGAGATTTTTTGGGGCAGAATCGAGACGTTGGGAGATCTTGGGGGAGAATCGAGAGGGGAGAATTTTGGGGGAGAATTTTTGGGGAGAATCAAGACATTGGGTGGAAAATTTTTGGGAAGAATCAAGACATTGGGAGAGTTTTGAGGGAGAATTTTTTGGGGAGAATCGAGACATTGGGTGGAAAATTTTTGGGAAGAATTTTTGGGGAGAATCGAGACGTTGGGTGAATTTTGAGGGAGACTTTTTTGGGGGAGAATTTTTGGGGAGAATCAAGACGTCGGGAGATTTTGGGGGAGAATTTTTGGGGAGAATCAAGACGTTGGGAGAATTTGGGGGAGAATTTTTGGGGAGAATCGAGATGGGAGAATTTTGGGGGAAAATCAAGATGTTGGGAGATTTTGGGGGAGAATTTTTGGGAGAACCAAGACATTGGGAGGAAAATTTTTGGGAAGAATCAAGACATTGGAAAATTTTTTGGGGAGAATTTTTGGGGAAAATCGAGATGGGTGAATTTTGGGGGAGAATTTTTGGGGAGAATCGAGACGTCAGGTGAATTTTGGGGGAGAATTTTTGGGGGGAATCAAGACATTGGATAATTTCTTGGGGAGAATTTTTTTGGGGAGAATCGAGATGGGAGAATTTTGGGGGAGAATTTTTTGGGAGAACCAAGATGTTCGGAGATTTTGGGGGAGAATTTTTGGGGAGAATCGAGATGGGAGAATTTTGGGGGAAAATCAAGATGTTGGGTGAATTTTGGGGGAGAATTTTTGGGAGAACCAAGATGTTGGGTGGAGGATCTTGGGGGAGAATCGAGATGTCGGAAAACTTTTTGGGGAGAATTTTTGGGAAGAATTGAGACGTCGGGAGAATTTTGGGTGAGAATTTTTGGGGAGAATTTTTGGGGAGAATCGAGACAGGAGATTTTTGGGGGAAAATCGAGATGTTGGGTGAATTTTGGGGGAGAATTTTTGGGGAGAATCAAGACATTGGAAAATTTCTTGGGGAGAATTTTTGGGGAGAATCAAGACGTTGGGAGGAAAATTTTTGGGGAGAATTGAGACATTGGGAGATTTTGGGGGAGAATTTTTTGGGGAGAATCGAGACGTTGGGAGAATTTTTGGGGGAGAATCGAGACGTTGGAAAACTTTTTGGGGAGAATCAAGACAGGAGAATTTTGGGGGGAAAATTGAGATGTTGGGAGATTTTGGAGGAAAATTTTGGGGGAGAATTGAGATGTTGGAAAATTTCTTGGGGAGAATTTTTGGGGAGAATCGAGACAGGAGAATTTTGGGGGAAAATCAAGATGTTGGGAGATTTTGGGGAAGAATTTTTGGGAAAAATCGAGACGTTGGGAGAATTTTGGGGGAGAATTTTTGGGGAGAATCGAGACAGGAGAATTTTGGGGGAAAATCAAGATGTTGGGAGATTTTGGGGAAGAATTTTTGGGAAAAATCGAGACGTTGGGAGAATTTTGGGGGAGAATTTTTGGGGAGAATCGAGACAGGAGAATTTTGGGGGAAAATCAAGATGTTGGGAGATTTTGGGGAAGAATTTTTGGGAAAAATCGAGACGTTGGGAGAATTTTGGGGGAGAATTGAGATTTTGGGGGAGAATTTTTGGGGGAAAATCGAGACGTTGGGAGATTTTGGAGGAGAATTTTTGAGGAGAACCAAGATGTTGGGTGGAGGATCTTGGGGGAGAATCGAGATGTCGGAAAACTTTTTGGGGAGAATTTTTGGGAAGAATTGAGACGTCGGGAGAATTTTGGGTGAGAATTTTTGGGGAGAATTTTTGGGGAGAATCGAGACAGGAGATTTTTGGGGGAAAATCGAGATGTTGGGTGAATTTTGGGGGAGAATTTTTGGGGAGAATCAAGACATTGGAAAATTTCTTGGGGAGAATTTTTGGGGAGAATCAAGACGTTGGGAGGAAAATTTTTGGGGAGAATTGAGACATTGGGAGATTTTGGGGGAGAATTTTTGGTGAGAATCGAGACATTGGGAGGAAAATTTTTGGGAAGAATTTTTGGGGAGAATCGAGACGTTGGGTGAATTTTGAGGGAGACTTTTTTGGGGGAGAATTTTTGGGAAGAATTGAGACATTGGGAGAATTTTGGAGGAGAATTTTTGGGGAGAATCAAGACGTCGGGAGATTTTGGGGGAGAATTTTTGGGGAGAATCAAGACGTCGGGAGATTTTGGGGGAGAATTTTTGGGAAAAAATCGAGAGATTGGGAGAATTTTGAGGGAAAATTTTTGGGTAGAACCGAGCCGTCGGAAGACCTCGGCCTAGCATTTAGTTGCGGAGAGGCCTTTGTTTGGGTTGGAAAATCGCTTTGTTGGGCGAATTTTTGGGGTTGGGGTGAGAATTTTTTTTGTTCTTTGATTTTTCCTCCCCAAAATTGCCTAAAATTCCCCCAAAATTCCTTCAGGGGGAGGCGGAATTCCATCGGATCATGAGCCTGGTGGATCCCAACGGCAGCGGCAGCGTCACCTTCCAGGCCTTCATCGACTTCATGTCGCGCGAAACCACCGACACCGACACGGCCGAGCAGGTCATCGCCTCCTTCCGCGTCCTGGCCGGGGACAAGGTGGGCCTTTTTGGGGGAAAAAA